TGGAGCCCCTAGAGGGAAGGTGGAGGGACAACACCTGCCCCGTCCGGAGCAGCCAGCAGAAAAGGCCTATTGCAAAGTCCCGGTTCGTCTCTGCAGCAAGTTGCTTGGGTCTGAGATTCGTTTGTGTGTCCAGTGAGTTATAATTTAACTATTTACTTTTGGTTTCTTGAACCACACCCGGTGCTATTCAGGATTACTCCTGGCTCTGCACTCAGGAATCACTCTTGATGGTGCTCTGAGGACCCTATGGGATGCCTGGGATCAAACCCAGGTCAGGTGCCCTACCTGCTGTATAGGGCAGGTGCCCTACCTGCTGTACTATCGCTCTGGCCCCTAAAGATTTTTTTTTTTTAAAGTTTCATTGTCACAATTCAGAGAAGGTGCCCATGGGGAGAGTCCAGGGCTGCTGAGAAAGAGCCAACAGTGCACGGAGCAGTTATCACAACAAAGAATTATCCAGCCCCCAATGTCAGCAGAGCTGGGAGTAGTCCTGGCCAACTGCATGGCAGTGGCAGCTTTAAATAGTGAATGTTTTACTGGGCATGTGTGTGTTACCTTTGTTGTTGTTGTTGTTGTTTTTAGAGGGGGGAGGGCGGTGTCTCTCACCAGTGATTTTTCGCCAAGCAGGCCAGAAGTTCAATACGAGAGTCTGAGGATGCTGTACTGCCTGAAATACCGGGGGGCCCAGGGGGACCCTCAAAATACCTCCGGCAACAGCAGTGAGGACTGAATGAGGGAAGAACCAGCCTCTGGTTTCTGCCAGGTCTCGGGGCTCCTGAAGCCCGTCGGACACAGCAGAGAAGTCAGACATTGGAGGAGAGCCTTTTGTGGGGGCCACCCCCAAGCTTACACCCGACCCACCCCGGATCCCACTCGGATCACTCCTGATGGTACTCGGGGACCATGTAAAATATTGGGGATCCAACCCACATTGGCGGCATGTAGAGTAGATGCCCTTATCCTCTGTACTATCACTCCAGCCCTTAAGTAAGTAAGGCCTGTTAATGAAAAATTTTGGGGTGTCCACACCTGGCAGTGCTCAGTGGTGGTTCTATGTTTCAAAAATCACTTGTGTGTGTGTATGTGTGTATGTATGTGTGTAAAACAATAATATCAGTACTGTTCTAAGCTATAATCCCTCAAAAAGAACCCCCCTGGACCCCAAGTAGCTATATCTCAGCCAGTTATACACCCATCTTTCCACAAACGCATTCCTGCAGCCTCAGTTTCCTCCAGATACTCCTTGCACTCAGGAGTCTAGCTGCTTGGTCCCTTCTGAGTCTGTTCTCAGAAGGAGAGGAGAGTGGTTATACGCCTCGCCCGGGTGCAGTCCCCACACCACAGGGAGCCCAGAGCATCAGCAAGGCCCCGGGGGGGGGGGCACCATTGGTGACAATGCAGCATCCTCGGACCCTTGTATTGAACTGCTGACCTGGTTGGTGGAGAATTGCTGATGAGAGCCTCCCCCCCCCCCCCCCCCGGCCACCCCCAGTCCTGAAAAAAGTGAAGGTAACATAATACACGCCCAGTAAAATATTCACTATTTAAAGCTTGGGGAACCGTTTGGTGGGTAGGTTTGAACTGGGTGGGCCGCATGCAAGCCGAGTGCCTTATTTCTCTCTAGTCTTCCTTCCTTCATGGAAGTTTTAGGAACAATGAAATCAGATGGCAAGGGACCACTGATGTGAGTGTGCATGAACCCTGACATTCGGGAAGGCTCACCCGCCGTCCCAACGCTCCTGAGCAGCGGCAGATGGCTTGTGTTTCAGAATAACTTTCCTCTACCTGCCTGTTTCCTTCCTTCTTCCTTCCTTCTTTTCTTCCTTCTTTCCTTCCTTCCTGCTTGCCTTCCTTCCTTTTTTTCTCCCTCCCTCTTTCCCTTCCCTTCCCATCCCTTCCCTCCTTCCCTCAGGTCCGTCCTTCCTTCCATCCTTCCTTCCTTCCTTCCTTCCTCCCTCCCTCCCTCCCTCCTTTCTTCCTTCCTTTCTTCCTTCTTTTTCTTCTTCCTTCCTTTCTTTTCTTCTTTCTTCTTTCTTTCTTCTTTCTTTCTTTCTTTCTTTCTTTATTTCTTTCTTTCTTTCTTTCCTGATACTTTACTCCTGGCTCTACACTGTACTCACACATCACTCCTGACAGGGCTCAGGGGACCATCTGGGGTACTGGAGATCAAACCCGTGCATGGTTAGCCATGTGCAAGGCAAGCGACCTACCCACTGGACTCTCTCTCTGGCCCCATCTCTCCCTGCCTTCAGACAGAAACCACTTACTGCATCCTCTCAGTTAAACCTCAGCACATTGGGGCAGGATTGTCCTGTGGTATCGTCCCCCCCCCCCCCCGCCCCGCCATCCGTCTTGGTCACCAGCTCACAGGGAACTCGCAGGAGTATCTGATCAGCAGTTCTCTAGGAAAGCAAATGGCAAATGCTGATATACCTGGAGGGGAGATGGGGGCTCTCAAGTAAGTCTCAGGGGGCTGGGGGATCATGCCCAGCAAAACTCAGCCCCCTGAGTGGTATTTGGAGGGTCATGTGGCACTGGGGTTGGAACCAGGGTCCTTGTGACTGCAAGGTGCGCGTCCTGATCCCCAAACCATTACCAAAGTCTACACTTATCTTCTTAGAAGCATCAGGAAATAGGGCAGGGCACTTGCCTTGCACACGGCCGTCCTAGGTTTGATCCCTGGTACCCCAGATGGTCCCCTGAGCCCTGTCAGGAATGATGCCTGAGTAGAGGCACTCAGGCATCACTCCTGATGGTGCCTGGGGGAATCAGATGGGGTGCCGGAATTGAACCCAGGTAGGCTGCCTGCAAGGTAAGTGCTCTACTCACTGTCCTATCACTCCACACCCTCAGTTTTCATTTTCTGCAGGTCAAAGTGCAGATCCTGTGGAAATGGGCTTCCAGGCTGTCTTTTAGGAAGAGGTAGAATTCACTCAAGGTGGATTCTAAGCATTTGGGTAATATGATAGCACAGCGGGTAAAGCATTTGCCTTGCGCGCAGCCAACATGGCTGACCCGGGTTCAATTCCTTCACCCCTCTCGGAGAGCCCGGCAAGCTACTGAGAGTATCTCGCCCACACGGCAAAGCCTGGCAAGCTCCCCATGGCGTATTCGATATGCCAAACACAGTAACAATATTACTGAGCCCGCTCGAACAAATCAATGAACAACAGGAGGACAGAGACTGTGACAGTGGGTAATATATTGAGGCAGTTTTGTTGTATTCTCCTAGGAGTTATGAGGGTTTTTTTTTTTTTGTCTTGTTTTGTTTTGTTTTTGGGCCACAACCACCAGTTCTCTGGGATCACACCCGGTGAGGAACTGTATGGCGTGTCAGGGATTGAAACTGGGTCAGCCATAAGCAAGGCAAACCCACTCTTCTGTTTCTCTACATCTTTCTCCCCCGCAAAGTGATACAGATGTTTTTCTTTTCTTCTGCCTTACCTTGCCACACACAGTGGTGTTCAGGACTTACTCCTGGTTCTGCGCTCTGGGATCACTCCTGGTGGACTCAGGGGACCCTATAGGGTGCCGGAGATCAAACCCAGGCTGATCACATACAAGCAAAGTTCCTTACGCACTGTACTATGCCATACTACTCATCTGTAGAAAAGATGAAATCTTGTTCTGCGTTACAACTTGAGCGGATTGGGAGGGTGTCATGCTGAGTAGAGTGAGTCAGAAAGAGAAAGACGGACACCAGATGATCTCGCTTGTTTGGGGAATGTACAGAAACCAAGCAAGAGATTAGACCATGCTCAGTGGAAACGACTCTGAGATGCGGTCAAAAGAACCATGATCCGGGGGCCGAAGAGATAGTATAGCGGGTAGTACACTTGCCTTGCATGCAGCTCACCTGCATTCAATGCCAGGCATCCCACATGGTCATCTGAGTACCACCAGGAGTGATTCCTGAATGCAGAGCCAGGAGCAAGCCTTGAGTCCTGCTGGGTACAAAACAAATAGAACTTTGATCTGAGAATGCTAAGAGACTTCCGGGAAAGAAATGCAGGTAATGCAGAGGGATCTTGGCACTCTGGCATTGGGTAGGGCATAGATCATTGCTATAGTGTGTGTGTGTGTGTGTGTGTGTGTGTGTGTGTGTGTGTGTGTGTAAAACAATAGTATCAGTACTGTTCTAAACTATGTATCTCTGTATCACTGTCACTGTCATCCTGTTCATCAGTTTCCTTGAGCAGGCACCAGTAACCTTCGTCCTAGCCCTGAGACTTTAGAAAGTGCTACATTCGAGTCTCTTTCAGGGTCAGGAGAATGAGACCCATCATTGTTACTGGTTTTTGGCATATTGAATACGCCACAGGGAGTTTGCCAGACTCTGCCATGTGGGCAGGATACTTTTGGTAGCCTGCCAAGTTCTCCAGAGTAAGAACTAGCGCCCTTCCAGGAGCTGGGTTTCATAGTCTCTGGGTCTTGGCCATTGATGGGATTACACGGCGCCGGGGGCAGTTGGTGGGTGTAACGCCTACATACTGGAAGATGGGGGATCTGAGTGGAGGAGGCCCAGTCCCAATCCGAGCAGGCTTGGAGATCTATGCCCCGGGTCCCGCACACCTGAGTTCCTCTGCCGGTTCCTTCATGCGTGGGACTTGTCCAAACGTGTGGAGAGTGGTCTTAAGCATGGTTGTGGCTGGAACCAGAGGTCTTCAGTTTCCAGGGCTCTGCTAAACCATGATTTCTCCAAAAAAATTAAAAGAACCCCCTGGACCCCAGAAAGCTTTATCTCAACCAGCCACACATCTCATCTTTCCACAAACGCATTTCCTCCCAGCTTCAGTTTCCCCTTTGCTCTCAGAAGTCTCGCTCCTTGTGTCATTTTGAGTCTGTTCTCCTTTGTGAACACAGGACCACCCTGTCAACACCCTCCCACACATCCCACCTACAAGAATATGGCCAAGCAGATCCCACTTGCTCCCACCTCCTCCCCGGAAGTTGCTGGCCTGGCTGGGCCTTAATCATTCTCCTTTGGTTGAACTTCACAGGTGCTGAACAAGGCTGAGTATGGCCCAATGTGGCTGACTCAGGTCGGCCCTCAGGTCCACGTGAACCTGGCCAGCGCTCCGCTCGTGGAGCAGGTGATGCGGCAGGAGGGCAAGTACCCAGTGCGAAATGACATGGAGCTGTGGAAGGAACATCGCAACCTGAATGGCCTGGCCTACGGGCCTTTCACCACGTGAGCTGGGCGTGGATGGTCAGGACCAGGGACCCCCAGAGATCAGCCGGGGGGGGAGGGGTGGTGCCTCCTGGGGGTCATGGTAGAGAAAAATCTCTTAGATTTCCTCTGAGCCTGATTTTCTTTTCTTTCTTTCTTTCTTTCTTTCTTTTTTAATATCAGGCATTTATTTATTTATTTATTTACTTATTTGCTTTTTGGGTCACACCCGGCGATGCACAGGGGTCACTCCTGGCTCTGCACTCAGGAATTATCCCTGGCAGTGTCAGGGAACCATATGGGATGCTGGGAATCAAACCTGGGTCGGCCCCATGCAAGGCAAACGCCCTACCTGCTGTGCTATCACTCCAGCCCCGAGCCTGATTTTCAGTCTAGACGATGAAGGTGGGGCTGGGGGGAAGCCCAGAGTCTGTTCATGGACTTTCCCCAGCATAGACTGTACAGCTTTTTTTTTCTTTTTTTTGGTGGGGGGTCACACCCAACGATGCTCAGGGGTTACTCGTGGCTCTGCACTCAGGAATTATTCCCGGCGTTGCTCCGGGGACCATAGGGGATGCTGGGAATCGAACCCGGGGTCGGCTGCGTGCAAGGCAAATTCCCTACCTGCTGTGCTAGCACTCCAGTCCCTAGACTGTACAGCTTCAGACAAAAGAATATTTACCCTCTGCGCCTTGTGTCTATCACATGGGAGACAGAAAGTTTAGACTGGAGTATCTCCAAGGCTTCCTCTAGGATCTTTCCAAGTCCATTTTTCTACATCCTGGTTGCAAAGATCCCAACTTGAATCATAAGGGGACATACCTATTTCTGATGGAAGCAACATTGCCACCGTGCTGGGAAAAAAAAATCTCTCTCAGATTCTTTGTTGAGCACATGTTGTCCCATAGGACTCTCATGTATGTGCTGTGGCCAGAGACACGTGGAGGCTTCAGCCCCGAAGGCTGGCCTCGAGACCAAGGTGATATTGTGCGAATTGAAGGATGGGCTGAGTATATCACACACACACAGTTGAGTATGTCAACACACACACTGTCCTCCTGTTGTTCATTGATTTGCTTGAGCAGGCACTAGTAACATCTCACAACAAATTGTGAGACTTGTTGTTACTGTTTTTTGGCATATCGAATACATCACTGGGAGCTTGCCAGACTTTGCCGTGCGGGCGAGATACTCTCAGTAGCTTGCCAGGCTCTCCGAGAGGGGCAGAGGAATCGAACTCAGGTTGGCCATGTTGGCTGCATGAAAGGCAAATGCCCTACCCGCTGTGCTATCGCTCAAGCCCGTCAACACACAAGCAGAGGGAATTAACCCCAGCTCCTGGGCATGCTCTCCCCAGGGGGTCTGGCTCTGGTCTCTTTTGCTGTAGCATGTGACTGAATCCCCCAAACAATGAGTGGCTTTGTTTTTTTCTTCCTTATTTAGAATCTGTATTTTGGTCACTTTTTGGTGGTGGTGGGGGGGAGGCGGGGAGGCAGTAATATTGGTCCTGGGCCACCAAGTAGCGGGTCAGGCATTTAACAATGACAACTCTGTCTTTAGGAGCTGCTAGGGGTCAGGCTGATCTCTCCCATTGATTTCTTTTTGAAAAAATCTCAAGACTTGGATGGCGGGGCTGTAGCGATAGCACAGCGGGCAGGGCATTTGCCTTGCACAAAGCCGACCCGAGTTTGATTCCCAGCATCCCATATGGTCTCCCCGAGCACTGCCAGGAGTAATTGCTGAGTGCATGAGCCAGGAGTAACCCCTGTGCATCGCGGGGTGTGACCCAAAAGCAAAAAAAAAAAAAAAGACTTGGGGGAGGGGGCAGAGCAATAGAACAATTTGGTAGGGTGCTGGCCTTGCATATGACTGACTGACCTGGGTTCGAACCTTTGCATCCGTGGTCTCCTGGACCAGCCAGGAGTGCTCCCTAGGCACAGAGCTGGGAGTAAGCCCTGAGCACTCCTAGGAGAGTCCCCCCCACACACACACACAAAAGACAAGTCTCAATCACGGCTTCATTTACTCATTTACTTTCCGATAAGCTGTCCTTGAGGGGAACAGCATTAGACTGATTCTGGGTCCTGTGGCCTCGTCAGGATGGTGGCTCTGGAGTTTGGCTTGACCCCTCCCACTCCCACCCCCTTGCATCCTTCCATCTGTGTGACTCAGGGAGGGCCACGAGTGGCACCAGCTGCGGCAAGCCCTGAACCAGCGGCTCCTGAAGCCCGGAGAGGCCGCGCTCTACACGGACGCACTGAACGAGGTCATCGACGACTTCATGGTGCGGCTGGGCCAGTTGCGGGTGGACAGCGCCACGGGGGACCAGGTGTCCGACGTAGCACACCAGCTCTACTATTTTGCCCTGGAAGGTCCGTGATGAGAGAAATGGGGGGGGGGGATGGGTGGGGTGGAGGTGGGGGGAGGCACCCGGCTTGGGCTTCCCCTGCTCAGAGCCCCCCGCTGGCCCTCCCTGTAATGCTCTGTGTGCACTACCAGCCATTTGCTACATCCTGTTTGAGAAACGCATGGGCTGTCTGCAGCCGTCCATCCCCCAGGACACGGCGACCTTCATCGACTCGGTACAGCAGATGTTCCGCTACTCTGTCTATTCCACCTTCCTCCCCAAGTGGACCCGCTCCGTGCTGCCCTTCTGGGACTGGTACATAGAAGGCTGGAATAACATCTTTGCTTTTGGTGAGTGGGTCCGGACCGAAAGTGTTAGGGCACGGGCATGTGGGGATGTATATCTCAGAGTCTGTGACTTGCCTTCTTCCCAGAACCTTTCTGGCCCTCAGATTCTTTGCTCTGACCTTGGAGAGGAGAAACTTGAACCTGGACCTTGCTGGGTCTGAGCGAGTTTACCAGAGGATTAGGCTAGAGCAAAGGAGATCTATTTTATTTATTTATTTTGGGTGGGGCACACCTGGCAGTGCTCAGAGGCCACTCCTGGCTCTATACCCAGGGATAACTCCTAGCGGTGTTTGGGGGATCATATGGGATGTCGGGGATCAAACCTGGGCCGGCTGCATGCAAGGCAAGCTCCCTCTCTGCTGAACTGTTCTCCGGCTCAGATCACGGTTATTAAAGGCAAAACAGCAAACCGTAGGGGTTGACGCTGTGGAGGCCTCCAGAGCATCTGGGGGAAAGCTCTTTACTATATGTGTCTGGGCTGCTTAGACAGCAAGTTTGTGTGGTAGGTGAGTTAATTCAGGGAGATGGGCCAGCAGGAGGTGTATAGCCTGTTCTGGAAAGGGAGTGAGATGTATGTAATGTTCTGAGTCAGTTACAGAAGGGAGTGTGTGTGTGTGTGTGTGTGTGTGTGTGTGTGTGTGTGTGTGTGTACACGGCAAGCCTGGCATGTGGCTGACTCGGGCTCAATCCCTGTCATCCTGTACAGTCCCCTAAGCACCACTAGAAGTGATTCCTAAATGCAGAGCCAGGAATAACCCCTGAGCATCACTGGAATAGTCCAATAAGAAAACAAATCTTTTGAGGAAATTACACAAAGACTCAAAGACTGAATCGTTTATAAAAATGTTTTGGGCCAATCAGGTGAAAAGAGTGATGTGATATATATATATATATATATATATATATATATATATATATATGTGTGTGTGTGTGTGTGTGTGTGTGTGTGTATGTGTGTGTGTGTATACACACACACACACATACACACACACACCATATGGGAGGGGCTGGAGATAGTACAGCAGGTAGGGCACTTGCCTTGCATGCAGTCAAATTGGATTTAATCCCTGACTTCCCATTTTGTCCTGCAAGCACCGCCAGGACTAATTCCTGAGTTTAGAGCCAGGAGTAACCCCTGAGCACTGCCAGGTGTGTCCTGAAAAACCAAATGAAATAAAATAAAATGTTCTTAGACAGTCATGTGAAGAGATGTCTATAAAATGTTCTGAGCCAATCATGAGAAGGAACTAACGGTCACGGTCCTCCCATTGTTCATCGATTTACTCGAGCGGGCCCAGTAACATCTCCTTTGTGAGACTTGTCATTACTGTGTTTGGCATATTGAGTACGTCACGGGTAGCTTGCCAGTCTCTGCCATGCGGGCAAGATACACTCGGTAGCTTGCCAGGCTCTCCGAGAGGGGACTAAGATGTATATAAATGTTTTTATTTGCGGGGGAGGGCGCACCCTGAGGTGCTCAGGGCTTAGTCCTGGCTCTGTGCTCAGGAATTACTCCTGGCAGGGGCTCAGGCGATCATATGGGGTTCCTGGGATCAAACCCCAGGCAGACGCGTGCAAGGCAAGCGCCCTCCCCACTGCACTATAGCTCTGGCCCCTGTGTATGTGAAATATTTCAGCCAACCCTGGGAAGAGAGAGGCAGGGCCAGTTCTAGAACCTGAGTGGCAGAACTGACCATTTGCTCGAACGATCTCCGGTCTCCCGGGGGCTGAGCAGCTCCTGGTGGGGCTGATGCCAGACCATTTCCGTTGCTTCTGGATGACCTTGACTTTGGACCTTGCCTTGTGGTCTCTGCAGGGAAGAAGCTGATTGATGAGAAAATCAAGGAGATAGCGGCCGAGCTGCAGGCCAAGGGGCCGGACGGGGTGCAGATATCCGGGTACCTGCACTTCCTGCTGAGTAGCAGCCTCCTCAGCCCCCGGGAGGCCATGGGCAGCCTGCCGGAGCTGCTCCTGGCCGGGGTGGACACGGTGAGTGTGTGTGTGGGGCCGGGGAGGCAGAGCTCTATTCCTCAGCCCCTGCCCCACACACATTCCCATAGGTGCCTAATCCTGGAGAATGGGGCGCACCTCCAGCCCAGGGCTGGGGACAGCTTCTTCTCATGCATGTGGGGGATGGGAGTCAGGGCAGGCTTCAGCCCCCTTGCTCTATCTGGTAGGCCGGGATGGTCTTCTGTTGTTGTTTTTTTTTTTTTTTTTTTTGCTTTTTGGGTCATACCCAGCAATGCTCAGGGGTTACTCCTGGCTCATGCACTCAGGAATTACTCCTGGAGGTGCTCGGGGGACCATATGGGATGCTGGGAATCGAACCCAGGTCGGCTATGTTGGCTGTGTGCAAGAAAAACGCCCTACCCGCTGTGCTATCGCTCCAGCTCCTGTTTGTTTGGTTTTTTTTTTAAGTTTTTATTGAATCACCATGAGATACACAGTTAAAAAGCTTTCATGATTGGGTTTCAGGCATACATCCCATTTCCAACACCCATCCTTCCACCAATGTACGTTTCCCACCACCACTGTCCCCAGTATCCCTCCCACCAACCCCACCCCACCCCCAATTCCCCTCCTTGCCTCTGTGGCAGGCATTTCTCTTCTTACTCTCTCTCTCTCTCTCTCTCTCTCTCTCTCTCTCTCTCTCTCTCTCTCCTTTTGGGCATTATGGTTTGCAGTACAGATGCCGAGAGGCCATCATGTTTGATCCTTTATCCACTTTCAGCACACATCTCCCATCCAGAGCGATCCCTTCCAACCATCATTCTCATAATGGTCCCTTCTCCATCCCAACTGCTGTCTCCCCCTGCCCTGGAGGCAGGCTTCCAACTGTGAACCAATCCTCCTGGCCCTTGTTTCTACCATCCTTGGGTATTAGTCTCACACTGTATTATTTTATAGGGGTTAGTCTTCTTATAAGAGGTATTCCCGCTGGCCCCCGGAAGCCTGTCTGGGGGCCTAGGGACATGGTCCGTCCTCTAAGTGGTGAACTGACCAGCTTGTCACAGACGCCTTCTCTGTACCTCCTTTCCCATGCAACTCATCACTCTGGCGCTCTCTGCTCCTGTGCCCTGCTGTCAGAGGAAGGAGTCCCTGTCCCATGGCCCGTCATCCAGACTGCAGAGGGTCTATGTCTCCCTGCTTTGTGAGCCACACCCGGCAATGCTCAGGGGTTACTCCTGGCTCTGTACTCAGGAATTACTCCTGGCAGTGCTCAGGGAGACCGTATGGTATGCTGGAAATCAAACCCGGGTTGGCCGCGTGCAAGGCAAACGCCCTACCCGCTGTGCTATCTCTCCAGCACCGGGTCTGTGTCTCTCTGGACACTTGCTCATCCCCTCTTGGGCACATGCCCTCGCTCACCTTACTTCCTCCCTCCCTGTCACTCGCAGACCTCCAACACGCTGACCTGGGCCCTGTACCACCTCTCCAAGGACCCCAAGCTGCAGGACGCCCTGTATGAGGAGGTGGTGAGCGTGGTCCCCGTGGGCAGCAAGCCCCAGCACAAGGACTTTGCCCGCATGCCCCTGCTCAAGGCGGTGCTCAAGGAGACCTTGCGGTAGGTGCTCGTCACGGGAGCACGGAGACTCGGAGGCAGAACCGGGAACGGGGCGGGGCGGGGGGGGCGGCGGGGCCAGCAGGAGAGAGGGACGAGGGGACCAGAGAGGTGAGGTTCAAGGAAGGGGTGGACACTTGGCCCTCCTTTGGTAGTTTGGGTTTGGAGATATGCCTGGTGGTGCTCATGGGACCCTTGTGGTGTTGGGGATTGAACTTGGACCTCCCAGGTCTGGAGCGATACTGCCAAGTACGGAACCAGCAGACAGACAAACAACCCCCCTGAGCCTCTCTCTCACCCCTGGTTTGGCTTTTTTATACAGGGGTTATTGCCAGTGAAGCTGAGGATGGTGCTAGGGGAGGCGTGACAGACCTACTGCCTCTGGGGCTCAGCCTGCAGTGCTCAGAGGCCACTAGGGCTCCCTCAGCAGAGCTTAGGGGCCGGAAGTGCTGGGGGATCAAATGCAGGACCTCCCATATGCTCAACATATGCTCTTCCACTGGACCTATCTTCCCGACTCCAGAACGGCACTTTAATTTTTGAGATTTTTTTTTCACTTTTTGGGTCCCACCTGGCGATGCACAGGGGTTACTCCTCACTCTGCACTCGGGAATTACTCCTGGTGGTGCTTGGGGGACCATATGGGATGCTAGGAATCAAGCCCAGGTCGGCCGCATGCAAGGCAAGTGCCCCCCTACCCGCTGTGCTATCGCTTCCGCCCCATGCACTTTAATTTTTGAGTTTTTTTTTTTTTTTTGCTTTTTGGGTCATACCCAATGATGCTCAGGGGTTACTCCTGGCTCTGCACTCAGAAATTACTCCTGGTGGTGCTGGGGGGGGGAGCATATGGGATGCCGAGGGTCTGCCACGTGCAAGGCAAATGCTGTACCCACTGTACTATCACTCTGGCCTTTTTTGTTTTTTATTAGTGAAACACCAAGAGGTACAGTTGTAGACTTACAAATTTTTGTGCTTCGGTATCAATTATACAATGTTCAAGTACCCATCCCTCCACCAGTACCCATTTTCCACCACCACTGATCCCAGTATCCCTCCCACCCCCCCATCACTCCCATCCCAACCTGCTTCTGTGGCAGGGCATTCCCTTTTGTTCTCTCTCTCCTTTTGGGTGCTGTGGTTTGCAAAAGGGGCATTGAGTGGCAATCATGTTTGGTCTATAGTCTACTTTCAGCTTGCTTCTCCCGTCCTGGGAGGATGCCTCCAGCACCCTTTATTTGGTGCTCCCTTCTCTGAGATGCCTTTTCTCCTAGCATTCGTGGCTGGCCTCCTAGCCATGGAGTGAACCTCCTGGTACTTATCTTGGCTATTCTTGGGTGTTAGTCTCCTGTTTTGTTACTTTGTGTTCCCCAGATGAATGCAATCTTTCTATGTCTGTCCCTCTCTTTCTGACTCATTTTGCTTTTAGCATGATACTTTCCATGGTGTACCACTTGTGTGTAAATTTCATGACTTCATCTTTTCTTTTTTTTTTTAATTTTTATTAGTGAAACACCATGAGGTACAGTTGTAAACTTACAAATTTTTGTGCTTGGGTTTCAGTTATACAATGATCCAGTACCCATCCCTCCACCCGTGCCCATTCTCCATCATTTACATTTTTAAAAAATTTTTGTTAGTGAAACACCATGAGGTATAGTTGTAGATTTATAAATTTTTGTGCTTGGGTTTCAATTGTACAACGATCAAGCACCCATCCCTCCACCAGTGCCCATTTTCCACCACCACGGGTCCCAGTATCCTTCCCACCCCCCATCCCCCCATCCCACCTTGCCTCTGTGGCAGGGTATTCCCTTTTGTTCTCTCTCTCCTTTTGGTGTTGTGGTTTGCAAAAGAGGCATTGAGTGGCAATCATGTTTGGTCTATAGTCTACTTTCAGCGTGCTTCTCCCATCCTGGTAGGATCCTCCCAACACCCTTTATTTGGTGCTCCCTTCTCTATCTGAGCTGCCTTTTCCCCTAGCATGTGTGGCTGGCCTCCAAGCCACGGAGCAAAACTCCTGGTACTAATCTCGCCCATTCTTGGGTGTTAGTCTCCTATTTTGTTACTTTATGTTCCCCAGATGAATGCAATCTTACTATGTCTGTCCCTCTCTTTCTGACTCATTTCGCTTGGCATGATACTTTCCATGTGGTACCACTTGTATGTAAAACTCATGACTTCATCTTTTCTAACAGCTACATAGTACTCCATTGTGTAGATGTACCAGAGTTTCTTTAACCAGTCATCTGTTCTTGGGTACTCAGGTTTTTTTCAGATTCTGGCTATTGTAAAGAGTGCTGCAGTGAACATACAAGTGCAGATGTCACTTTGACTATCCTGTTTTGCCTCTCTGGGATATATTCCCAGTAGTGGTATTGCTGGGTCAAATGGGAGCTCAATTTCTAATTTTTTGAGAATTGTTCATACTGTTTTCCGAAAGGGCTGAGCCAGTCGGTATTCCCACCAGCAGTGGAGGAGGGTCCCTTTCTCGCCACCTCCACGCCAACACCAGTTGCTTTTGTTCTTTTGGATGTGTGGCCCTTTTTTTTTTTTTGGTTGTTGTTGTTTTTGGTTCACATCCCGTGATGCTCAGGCCTAACTCCTGGCTCTGTGCTCAGGAATCACTCCTGGCGGTGCTCAGGGGACCCTGTGCGGTGCTGGTGATAGAACCCAGGTTGTCTGCATGCAAGACGAGCGTCCTCCCCACTGTGCCACCTATCATCCGGTTCTGATTTGGAGGATGTTGTTTTCCTCGGGCAGGGGGTGGGGGACACCCCTGGCAATGTTTAGGGGCCCTCCCGCAGTGCTCAAGGGACACCCTTCAGTATCAGGACTCAAACCCAGGGCCTCACACATTGCCGAGCGAGTGCTCACCCACTGAGCCCCAGGCCCGGCCCCATCCGCGCTTTATCTCCCCCATAGCCTCTATCCTGTGGTTCCCATTAACTCCCGCGTCATCACGGACAAGGACATGGAAATGAACGGTTTCTTGTTCCCCAAGAACGTGAGTGGGGAGCGAGAGCGCGGGGAGCCAAGTGGGGGGACTCCCCTCCCCCCACCACCTTGCCTTCACCCGCCCCTCCCCCTACCCCCTCCACGCAGACCCAGTTCGTTTTCTGCCATTATGTGGTCTCCCGGGATGCGAGCACCTTCCCGGAGCCCGACAGTTTCCGGCCCCAGCGCTGGCTGAGGAACAACAGCCAGCCAGAGAACGCCGGGGTGCTGCACGCCTTCGGCTCGGTGCCCTTTGGCTTTGGGGTGCGGGCCTGCCTGGGCCGCCGGCTGGCAGAGCTGGAGATGCAGCTGATCCTGAGCAGGGTGAGTGTTGGGGTGGGCTGGCAGTTCAGGGCGGGGTGGGCACAGGGCGGAGGCCCGGGCAGACCCTCACCAGCCCGGCTTCCCTTAAAGCTGATCCAGCACTACAAGATCGCCCTGGCCCCCGAGACCGGGGAGGTGAAGGACATGGCCCGGATCGTTCTGGTCCCCAATAAGAAGGTGGGTCTGCGCTTCCTGCAGCGACAGTCCTGAGCCGCCCGCCCTCCTGGGCCCCGGGCTTCCGGGGTCTCTCACCCAG